GCCAAACATATGTTGTCTTTTGTAGTAAAAAATAAGAGATAAATAAAAATCAATATGGTAGATTTTATTTTTAAGCCATATCGCCTAGCCCTATCTTTCAATGATCTACTTGGCTACTCGTCTTTTAAGATTTTTTTTTTCTGGTGTTAAGTAGACAGGTGGACAGGAAATTTGGAGAGAGAGAGCGAGACATGCAACAAAGGTCTCCTGCTGGATTCAAACCGGAGACATACGTAGTATGTGTCTTGGAGCCCTTGGTCAACATGGCACCCCACTTGGGTTTTATCATCATGCTATTTTATATGATACATAATGTCTTACATACGCTAATTAAAAGCCTCTTTGGTACCCATATTTAATTTTTTTTTCACAATGCATGTCCTTTTCCCACCTTCTGCAAAACATCCAGAGATGTGAGCACAGCTTCCTGGAGGCTGGTGAGCACCGCCTCAGTGTAGGAGGGGAGGATGAAGGGCGAGGCATCGCTGCTGATAGGCACAGATACTGCCCCATGGAGGATGACCCCCAGCTTCTTCAGATCCTCCATGCTGAAGTTAGCTTTTATGTGCTGGTAGAGTGCAGGGAATATCTGGATCAATGCTGTGAGGAATGGCTGGCTAGGGATGAATGAGAGCTTCTCTGTCGGGCCACTAGGAGGCCTCGTGCTGTCTGTTCCAGTTCGATACCACGTGTTCCACGCTGACCACCACAATGCCGAGTCTTCCAAGGCCGACTCCTCCCCTGGGGGAGGGGCCTGCAGCTCAGCGCCGTTGTATCGCGTGAGCCGCTCGACAAGCGAATCTGAACGCACCAGGGGTCTGCCAGGACCAGACGCTGAGAGGGGGTCAATGAGCACTGGGGGGACGCCCATAGCAGCAAATGCATCACCTGCTTTGTCTGAGTCTTTAACAGGTGTAACAATCTGTAGGATCTCTTGAAAGCTCTTAAGGGCAGCCAGCGACACCTCGTTGTTTTTGCTGAGAGCAGCTGACTGAATGTGGTTCAGCAGCACCTCCCAGGCCTCGAAGAAATCACCTGTAGATACACAGCAAGTAGAGTAAGATTGCCAATTAGCAGAATGTGTTAACTGTAAATAAAGTGTGACAATTAGCACTTTCATATGTGAGGTTTCAAACCAACAGATGTTAGGGAGGCCACATAGTGAGAACTAGTGTTTTAGTCACAAACATTGTTTCCTTTTCATACATTTTTCTAAAAAAGAGCAGTAAGGAGTCTTAGTGGGTCACATGCTCTACCAGGTGAGCTACCAGGGCACCCCCAGTAGCTCACCTGGTAGCTTATGAGCCTATATCCAATTATGTAAAAATCATCATACCATGATATTGCATTGCAAGCAACAGTTATTCCTTTCATCTAGGTTGTATATTGGTAGAGCAGCCTTCCTCTAGGTGATTTTATGTGTAGTAGGCTGGGAATGTGTGTATATTGTGAGTCACCACTTTCTTGTAATTTGGCATTGACTGGCTAAGATGTTCAGAGGGGTGAGTGCAGTTAATGAGGAGCTCATGTTTTATCATTCATATCTCCCTGGAATATTAATCCTGTCTGCATGGGGCTTAACATGACTTAATGTGTGGTAATATAGCAGTAACAGCTGGGTCGTTTCTGGACCTTTGCTACACTTGGCACAGATTTATGAATACATTTCAATATGTAATTTTCTTTGTTTACAATTCCGTGGCGGCGGTGGTAAACTGTAGAAAAAGAGCATCAGAGCAGACTATGCGTGGCTCACCTAACTGCTGGAGGAGATAGCGCCTCGTGTTGAAAATGCGAGCCACCCCGGCTAGTGTCAGCACCCATGTTTCCGCCCATTGTTTTTCAGCTGTGTCGCGTGAGTGGTGGATGAGGATGTTCCCGCCACCGGACTCAATTTTCTCCTTGTCTGCTGTGGTGGAGGATGTCCTCACACAGTCTAGCAGGTGGAACAGTACCTAGTGGTGACACCAAGATAGGTTAAGAAGCAGCAATTTCTTCCACAAAAAGCACATTCTGCCAATAATGGAGCCCCAATGTCAGCCTATTTAGAGTTGTTTTTACGTTTGAGTCTAAAATCAATAGTACAATATTCTGTACAAACAATATGAATGACAGCCTGGTAGAACTAAATCAAACAAAAATCACAATTCTTGCAGGCTACCTTCCAGATCACAATATGCCACGTTGGCTGCTGCAGCAGGGTCCCGTGGGCAGCGATGGTGGAGAACAATGTCTGCCCGGCGCTTTTACGCACAGCGGGCCGTGGGTCGACACACAGCTCGCCCAGCTTAGCGTAGAGGCACAGCCACAAGCAATCAAAAGGAGGGGCGGGATGGAACGGCCTGTTCAGGGTCTCTCCTTTCTCCTGGGCCTGCTTCTGCAACGCTTCCTCCTCCCTCCCCAACTCTTGTGTGATGGCCTCGCCCCTTTGAAAGAAGTAGTCCGAAATGTTCCACTGTGGGTAAAAAGGGAAGTGGGGGCAGAGAGTGGGGGCATTAATTGTAGAGGAAGGTTCGGTAAAATGCTTCTGGCAGTTTTGCTATCCTATTACCATAAAGTAATCTCGCAGGAACTGCCACACTCCAAGAGAAATAATCCTGCAAACCGCAGATCAATATCGGGTTTTGCATGTCCTGAATCCTGTACAAAGTATCTATGAAAAGTCAGTGGAGTGGTTAAGTGCTGTTAAATTAAATTGCAAGAGTTAAGTTGCAAAACAAGGAATTATGTGATATTATAATAGCCAAACCATATTAAACATACCATGTTTCAGCTTTAAAGCTATTGGAAAAGAAAAGTGTCCAACCTGTCATATTTCAATAATACTGTATGTAGGCCAGGAAGTTTCTGTTGTTTTCATTTATATTACTATATTCTCTGTTAGCATAGCCCTGCCTCGCCCCACACATTCAAACTAAGGAATTGTTACATCACATTATTCTACTGCTGGCCCCTCAAAAGCTCAGAGTATTAACCAGGAGTCCTGCCTCTGTGTCTGAGCATAAAGAGCACAAGACAAGACATCAGTTATCTCACCAGCAGGCCAATGGAGGTGAGGCTGATGTTGAGCTCTTGGTTCTGCAGGCCAAAGCTGCCAGCTACATCCACTACGATCTGGAGGCACGTGCAAGGCATGGTGGGCAGGAAGTCTGTCACCACCAACTGCAGGCACTGGAAGGCTGTTCGGATCAATGACTCACTGAAGGGAAACAAGACACATGGCAGCCTTTGGTTGAGTTCAGTTTCTTCTATTGCTTGCAGTGTAACCACAGTAACAACAGACATTTAGGATGGCTCTCATAAAATAAAATATTTGCATTTACAAAAAAACAAGAGCTATTTCAGTAACAACTAAAAAAGATTATGTGAAGCCCAGTCAGCTTTGCCCATCTTCTCCTCCTTCCGTTACCCTTGATCATTGCGGATGGCTCCTATAACACCCAAGACGAGGGGCCAGCCGGGCCCCAGGCTGTCTCCCTGACTCTGTAGGATCTGCAGGACACTCTCCAGCTGTTTCTGCCGGATATCTGCATGCAGCACGTTGGACAACTCCTTCAGGGGGTTCAGCAACAGAAGCTGCAGCCGCTTGGGAATAAAAAGGAGACTGTAATTAATTTGGTAACAGACAGACAATGATCTACAAAGATTAAAGTCTTGCTTTGTGCTATAACAACACTGCATAGTACACATGTAAAATGAATATATTCAAAATTTAGAACCATTAAATCTGGTGAATGCCTCTAAACAGTATAATCATAGACACACATTTCACTGGCAAAATGTCCAAATTAATTTAACTTTCTTTTTTATAAGAACTGCTGGACAATACCCAAACTGATTGTAGAGTTAGATAGTAAGTATTTTTGTGCTCTGGCCGACAGAGTTGTCAAATGTGTCATAACGGTTTTATTCTTCATTTGTTCTAACACAATCAAACCATAGATGACTTGCATAACCCCGGTTCTCTGGGTAACATGGGTGACACACTGTACAGACAAGTACAAATTAAAGGAAACCAGAATACTTGAGTGGGGGAACACAATGAATGCAAATGCTCGAGTCACTGGAATGGTTGTTAAAATATGTGTATGTGTATTGTATCACACAATAAGTGTAGCAGACAAAATGTATTTTAAGTTAAGTAGCTATTAGGGTCATTTTGGTGTTTTTATCAGGGGGGGAAAAACAAATAAACACTTACTTACACGTACTTATATTTCCTATTTTACTTTCAGTGTCAATGTGTTCGTGAGTCATATTTCTTTCCTTTTTTTCTGTTTTTTAGATTATATATATATCTTAGGAACTTTGGATGCAGTCACTATACTTACCATTCCATTATTTTTAACACCACATGCAATGGTAAAAGCTTGCCCACACTGCAACATAGGCCTTGAAGAAATTATTATATTGTGCGTTTCTACAGGACAGCCATCATTTGTATGGCTCGGTGCTGTTCTATTAACCTCCACACATTTCTTCTGCCCTCTTTTAGATAAGCTCTGTGCCATTCCCTTTATCTGTCACACTAAGGTGAAGGTCACAGACTCTGTGTTTGTGAGTGACAAGAGAAAGTGACTGTGACATTTCTGTTTTCCACGTTTTAAGCATTTGGCACACACTCTTATCTATCATGACATACGCTGCAACAGTGGAGATTTCTCAAATGTCAGCATTACAAACAACCAATATTAAGTGAAACCCAGAGAAGACAAACGATACATATTTCTATTAAAATGAACGTTCTTTTGAGCTCTACATTGTTTCATGCAGATTCTTGTTTTTTCTGCTTTGTGTTTTAGACCACAAACACCTGCTTAGCTACCTGATTTTGGGCCAGTGGAGGGTCGTGTTTGAAGGCCAGGCCAGCTTTGATAAGCGCTGTCAACGCCTCAGCCCCCCACTCTCTCATCCTGGAGTTTGGGTGCTGACAGACCTGCAGGACACATTACATAGACACACAAATGCAGACACGTGTACATGACAACAGATCTGATGCAAAGGCTGAGTTTCCCAGCAGTGGTCACAGTGGGTGGGTGTAAAACAAGTGGAAGAAATAAACCACAGACTGTGATAGAGACTGGTGTCCCCTGTGATAACAGGATATGCTATGAAGGACAGTGTAATCATGAAAGCTAGTGTAGATAGATACACATGGAGAGGCTGAGCTCAGCAGAGGTAAGTACACTAGTGTGGTACAAAACCTGTGTTCTGCTTGAAGAATACCAGTAAAAATAAAATATGTTTTCCCTTTTTAAATCATATTTTGTCTAAAGGTTTGTCAAAATGTTTACTTTTATGGTCAATCTTAATAATTCCATGAGGAGAAAACTTTGTATTGCTTACAGGCAAAGAGAGAGACTGCTAAGTAGACACTGTAGCTGTACCCCTTCAGAACCCAGATTGTCCATGTGTATCTATTTAATAATTTGGCTTTCACAGACCTGCATGATCGTTAAGGCCTCATATTTTTATCTTAATCTTTATAAGATTGGACATCTGTAAATAAAGATGCAATAAAGGAGATATCATTGTCACATTTCCATTAAAATACAAAAGAATGAATTTGAACAAGCCTGCAAAGAAAGATAAGCAGCATTTTATCTAAGCATAAAGTATACTTTGCAGGTGCAGCTTCAGATTCTGCTTCTGTGACAAATCAGAATTACATTGCAAATTGCACACAAGAATGTAAGGTCAAACACTGGTAGCGGAGCAAATGGACACATTTTGACACAGCGACTCTCAACTCCAACATGATGATGCCGGACTGAGAGGGAGAGAAAACAGATTGCGAAAAAAGAAGAGATGGGAAAGCCAGTGATTATGGAGGAGGGAATCTGAGCTTACCTTCTGCAAAACAGACAGGAGTGCAAAAGAGAGGGGAGATAGACAAAGAAAATGTGAAGAAAACCTCTGAACACACACCTTTACACACATAGAAAATGAGAACCCTCTTACAGATATGAGGACATGTACGTGCCAATAACTACAGAGAATGTATTATAAACCAAACTCAAATCAACTCAACTTTATCTACAGTATATAGCACAGTATACACAACCCATGAAACCCATATCTGTTAGTAACTGGTATATGTGCCAGGGCTCTACTGTATGTGTACACTGCTGTCTTTCATTTCAAAAAGCAGCACATGCAACAAGAATTAAAAAAAAAGGTCAAATATTTTGTGCTCATGCTGTATCACCAGACAATGACTCATGGGGATTTTCTTCTATACTCAAATATGAGGGCAATTCTGCTAATGGTAGTTCTATAGCAACCACCCAAATATAAAAAAATATGAAAATGTATTTTTTATTAAAAATCAGCTAAACATACTTTGAAAGTTTCACCAATAAATAAGAAGAAGTCCATATCTCAGCTTTTATCAAAAACTGTAATACTCATTAGAAACCTTCAACCCTTCTATAGCCTGTTAAACATTTTTCTCCTTCATGACTAAACCACTAGACCAGAGCCCTGTCTCTGTGTTGCTGCTTGCAGCTATAATTCCATTTCATTTTAACTTTAAGGGCTTGTATGCTCCAGAATCCATGGAAAAAAGAGCATTATTAGAGCCTTGGCACTGGGTAAAGTAACCAAAAGGGTTTAGCAGAGGGGGGCAATTTTGACATTCTTTTAGGTTCTTCCTTTCATTATTTGAAGAGTTTGGTTCCAAATTTTCTCCAATGAGATCATCAGCATTGGAAAAAGTGACAATTACTGCTACCAAATTTAAACAAGCATTTCTTTCTAGCTCTGGTTTAACACGTCAAATTCCTTATACACTTATTGTACTAGGTGAAATTAAATCTGCTCAAAGAGAGTCTGCACTCCTTAAGTGATTGTGAGGATATAACTATATGACCTTGGTTGACAAAATTATGTTTATCTTCCATCTTTCACTGAGTTTGAATCAAATGGTGTGACCGTGTTTAAGAACAGAACTCTTTATCTGCACCTTTCATGATGTAGCTCTAAATAGCAGTTACCTCCAATAAGTGGCCAGTTAGGGGTCTCCACAGGATCTCTATACGATCCATGTTGACAAGGCCAGTCTCCAGCAGCTTGGCCACAGCAAACAGAGATGGTTCCTAAAACCAAGACAAGAAAATAGAAACTATATATAAATACCGGATACCTTTTTCCCCCAATTTTGCTGATCAAATGCATAAGTATGGTTATCTATAGCCCTGTTTGAATATTTGAATATTAGGAGACGGTTCACTGAGATAAGCAGAAGGTGGCGCCACGTTTTCAGTGAGAAAAGCATAAGAAGAGGTTGCAACAAGATAATGTAATTGAAAAGGTGGCAGTCAAACCTCAAATGGTGAAAAACTATGCAGAAAACATGATGAAAATGACAGAAAGGTAGCTTCAGATCTGTGTGGATCGATCATGAATGTATTAAAGAGCCATGGGAGCTTTGAGGAGACAGGCGAAGACAGCTGACAGCATTAACTCTAATTATTTAATCTTCTTGCATTTTTCTTCTAAACTTTTGACTTTTACGTCAAACACTTGTAAAGCATAATGCACATCAAAATACGTTGATGAAAACACAACTAATGACAGACACGCAAGATAATATCCACTTCCAGTAAAATTGTATAAAGAATAGTTACTCTAACCCTAACCCTAACCCATTTGACATTTTATCCAAAGCCAAATAATGACACATCCAAAACATCAGGGAAGTTTCACCATGTACTAAAATACAGAAAATCTATACCTTGTTATTTCCATAAGCCATCTCCATGGCTTCCAGGGAGAGGGAACAGAGAGCGTTGATCAGATGATGCAGGGACACATCATCCAGGTACCTAGATCACACAGAAAATACATATTGCATATCAGATATGCATATTTTGCACAGACTGAATAGTTTCAAATGTTAGGAATTCAGATTTACAGAATTTGTATACACAAAAAGTTACTATTTATACCCATATGGTTACTATTAGCACTGAACAGAAAATGTAGCCCCTTTACCAGTAAGTACATCTTTTAAAAAACGTCGACTGGACTATTTAAAAGCATACGGATGAATAACTGGAGTTTCTATAGGGAGTGCTCGTTTTAACAAATGAAAGACTGGTCCTTACTGGGAGCTCTCAAAAAGTCTGGACAGAATGTTGGAGATGATGGGTAGGTCTGTCATCACGGCTGTGGTCAGCACCTGTTTAGGTTAAAGACACAACCACAGGCAGTCAGCTCATTGACTTCAACAATAAGGTGAAAAACATACAGTACAACGCAAGCTCGACATACACTTCCTAAAAAACTCACTGTACTGGGTCCCTCCACAGCTCGACCAGGCTTCAGGGCACCGCCCACTCCTGGCTTCAGCCCCAGGATCCACACTAAATGCTGGTAGGGAAAAGTGAGGTAAGGTCATGAAATGTACATTGGCATACTGTTAGGTAGAACAAATTTAAATTAGTTAAGAATTATTGAATTTAAATTCTAAATCAGTCCCCCTCCTGTTTTTGGAAGTTTTTACAAAGCACAAAGGTAAAAAAAAAAAAAAACACATTTTGATAGTTTGGTTTGTGAAACATATTGGTAGCAGGTCATTTATTTTCTCAAAAGCAGCGCAAGTATACACTTACAAATGTATAAATGTAATATATTGGGCCCATCTTCTCCTCCCTTCCCCGCTTCAACCCTTGATCATTGCGGATGGCTTTTCCTATCAAATCACCAGAAAGACGAGGGCGGCCAGCCGGGCCCAGGCCATGTCTCCCTGACTCGTGTACGGACCGTCTGCAGTGACACTCTCCAGCGTTTCCTGCCGTATCGTGCATGCGCACGTTGGAAACAACTCCTTCAGGGGGTTCAGCAATCCAGAAAGCTGCAAGCCCGCTTGGGATAAAAAGGAGACTTGTCTTAAATATAATAGAGATACAAGCACCGCAGTAACCAATGATATCTTACAACAGATTAAGACTTCTGCTTTGATGCTTAACTAGATAGTACACTGTTTAAATGACACATTATCTTCAAATTTAGAAAACCATTAAATCTGGTGACATGCCTTCTAAATAATCACACATAGCCACATTTCATCTGCAAACAATGTCCAAGATTATAATTTTAACTTTCCTTTTTTTTTATAAGAAGCTGCTGGGACAAAATAACAACTGATTGTAATTATTGTTTGAATAGCTCAACGGATATCTTTTGCTGCTTCTGGCGAACAGAATCATGTATCGAAATTGTTCATAAACGTTTTTTATTCTGTTCCATTTGTTCTACACACATCAACAACGCATAGTATGACTCTGCTAACACCCCCGGTTCTCTGGTAACACTGGGGCACATTGTAACAGACAAGTAAACAAATTAAAGGAAACCAGAATATTGAGTGGGGGGGGGGAACCAATGAGCCTGCAAAAAGATGCTCGATGTACTGGATAGGTTGTTTAATCATTGTTGTGTATGTTGTAATAGAATCACACATATAGCTGTGCAAGACCACATTAGTTAGAGTAGCTATACGGTCAAATTTTTTGGTGTTTTATCAAGGGGTGAAACACATACAACTAATACTACACGTACTATATATAATTTTCCTATTTAACTTTCAGTGTATGGTGTTTCGTGTCAGTCATATTTCTGGTCTTCCTTTATTTCTTTGTTTTTGTTTAGATTATTATAATATAACTTCATTGAGGAACTTTTGGTCAGTCACTATACTTACCCAATTTCCATTATGTTTTACAACCAACAATGCAATGGCTAAAGCCTTGCCCACCAACTTGCAACTAGGCTATAGAAGAAATTATTTCACTATTGAGTAGCTAATTTCTACTCAGGCAAGCCCATACTTTGTGAGCTCGGTTTGCTGTTCTGATTAACTCCACCAACTTTCCTTTCTGCCTCTTTTAGACTAAGCTCTGTTGCCAATTCCCTCGTTATCTGTCACACTAAGGTGAACGTCGACAGATAACTCTTGTTGTTTAGTGAAGATGAGCAAGGAATGTTGACATTGTTCTGTTTCCACATTGTTAAGGCACATCTTGGCCACACACTCTTATCTATCAGGACCACTCACTGCAACTAGTGAGGATTTCTCAATGTCAGCATTTACACAACAACAACTATTACAGTGACCCAAGAGAAGGACAGACGCATCACATCACGTTTGGTCTATTTAAAATGAACGTTCTCTTGATGAGCTCTACATTGTTTCATGCAGATTCTTTGTGTCTTTTCTGCTTGTTGTTGCTGTAGAACCACAACCACTGCTTCAGCTCTGCCTGAATTTTTTGGGCCAGTGAGGGTCCGTGTTTTGAAGGCCAGGCCAGCTTTGGCATATAAGCGGCTGTCAACGCTCAAGCCCCCACTTCACTAGAATCTGGTAGGTTTGGGTGCGACAGACCTGGCAGAGACCACATTACATAGACACACAAATGCCAGACCAGCGGTGTACTGAAACAGATCTTGATCGCAAGGCTGAAGTCTTCCCAGCAGTGGTCACAGTGGGTTGGGTGTAAACAAGTGGAAGAATAAACCACAGACCTGTGATAGAGACTGGTGTCCCCTGTGATTCCAAGGTATTGCTATGAATAGAGATAGATAATCATGAAAGCAGTGGTAGCATTATGATATCAAAATGGAGAGGGCCTTGAGCTCAGCAGATGGTAAGTACACTAGTAGGGGTCAACCTTGTGTTCATGCCTTGAGAAATATCATGTAAAAGATAATATGTTTTCCCTTTTTAATCAATATTTTGTTCTAAAGGTTTGACTCAAATGTTTACTTTCATGGTCAAATCTTTAATAATTCCATGAGAGAAAAATTTGTTATTCGGTTTTTACAGGCAAGAAAGAGAGACTGCTAAGTGCACCTTGTTCGCTGTAACCCTTCAGAACCAAGAATTTGTCCATGTGTAATCGGTATTTAAATAATTTTGGGGCTTCTCACAGAACCCATGCAACAATGCGATGTCTAGGCTCATATTTTTTTCTCTTAAAATCTTTATAGATTGGACATCTGTAAAAAAGATGCAAGTAAACGGAGTATCATTTGTCACACTTCTCCATTCTAAAGTACGAAGAATTTGACAGCCTGCAAAGAAGATAGCAGCGATTTACCTAAGCACTAAGTATGGTTGCAGGTGCAGCTTAGATTCTGCCTCCTGTAGCATCAGAATTAACAGCTTGCAAACTTGCACACAGATGTTAAGGTCACCACTGGTAGCGGAGCAAATGGACCCACCTTTCTGACACAGCGACTTCAATCAACACTGAATGATGCCGGCTGAGAGGGAGAAAGAAACAGGGTATTTGCGAAATAGAAAGGAGTGGGAAAGAGGTGAATTAGGAGGAGGAATTCTGAGCTTACTTCGAAACAGAACAGGGTGCGAAAAGAGAGGGGAGATATGCAAAGAAACTGCCTGAGAAACCTTCTGACACACAATCCTTATACACACATAGGATTAGAAGGCGAGAACCCTCTTAACAGATACTGAAGAATGTTCTGCATACCTAGCAGAGAATGTATTATAACAACTCAAAATCAGACTCAACCTTTCAGTCTCTCCTCTGTCAGATACGCAGTAATATTCAAACATGAAGCATCATCTTGTTCAGATAATTGGATATTGTCGTGCCTATGCGGGAATCTACCTGCTTTCACCTGTGGTCACGACTGCTGCTCTTTCCCTCATTTCTTCAAACGTAATGCGGAGTCCACATGCACAAGAAATTAAACACTCGCGAAAAGGTTACAAATTTTTGGCTTCATGCTGTTAATCACCAGAAACACATGATCTGGGGGATGTCTTTCTTCTCATCCTCAATATCGAGGGCAATTTGCTACTTGGGCTAGTTGCTCTATAGCAACACCAAATATAAAAAATATAATGTAGTTTCTTTCCTTATTAAAACTCAGCTAAGACATACTGTGTTGAAGTTCCACCACAATCATAGAGATTACAGTAAGAAAATTGATCATATCCAGTCCTCGTATCAAAACTGTTTATATACGCTCCTTAAAACCTTCAACCCCTTCTATAGCTGTTTAAACATTTTTTCTCTTCATGACTAAACCACTTAGAACAGCAGCCCTGTCTCTGTGCTGGCGTGCTTGCCAGCTTGATATTCCATTCTCATTTTAACTTTAAGGGCCTTGTATGCTCCAGAATCCATAGGAAAAGAAGATTCTTTTAAGGAGCCTTGGACTGGTAAGTTAGTAACAAAAGGGCTTGACAGAGGGGCGGCAATTTGTGACATTCTATCAGATTCTTTCAATCTATTCTTTGAGAGTCTTGCTTCAAATTTTTCCATGGAAATCATCCAGCATTGGAAAGTGAACATTACTGTCTACCCTAATATATAAAACCAAGCATTTCTTTCTAGCTCTCTGGTTTACACCACGTCGAAAATTCACTTACTACATATTGTACTAGTGAATTAAATCTGCTCAAGAAGGTCTTGCCTTCCTTAACGTGATCGCGCTGGCGCTAGACCACGTCACTACGATATATAGGATCCGATGAGAAGGGACTTAACTGTAATTATCTCTCCATTTCACTGTGAGTCTTGATCCAAATGGTGTGCCGGATATAGAACAGCAGACTCTTTAATCTGCACATGTATAATCATGAAATGGTAGATTAAAGTAACGGCAGTTAACACCAATTAAAGTGGACCAAGAATTTAGGGTTCTCACAGGAACGTCATAATATACGATCCATGTTGACACGGCAAGATTCTCCAGCAAGACATTGGGCCACAAAAAGCAACAGAGAATGGTTTCCTCAAAACCAAGCAAACCGAGAAACGGCAGATCATTTCTCATACGACATACCGGTCACTTTTTTTCCCCAATTTTTCTGATCAAGATGCATATATAAGGTTATTTTCATCAGCCCCTTTGTCTTGTAATAAAATTCAACCATGACTATATGCAGGTTCAGCTGAGATAGAGCAGAAAGAGTGGTCGAGACGTCTCTCGAGCCGTGAGAAGCATAAGAGAGGTTTGGCTCAAGATACACTCGTGACTTGAAGGTTGGCAGTTTCAAACGTCAACAGGTGAACTATGCGAAAACCTGAGAAAATCCGCGCGCGCTATGCTTAATCTTGTTCGTGGATCGATCATGGGCACTCGAATGTTTAAAGAGCCCTGGGAGTCTTTGGGAGACACGGCGAGAAGCTGACGCATTAACTCTAATTGATTTAATCTGCGTCTGTGCATTCTTTTCATTCTAACTTGTTGATCTGGACTTTTATCACGTCAAACACTTTAAATGACGATAAAATGCAGCATCAACACCTACGTTGATGAAACAACACGACTATGACCAGACGCACGCAAGACTAATATCCACCTTCCAGTAAATTAGAACAAAGAATAGCGTTGTTATCAAACCTAAAATTCTCCCATTTTGATATTTTATCCAAGGCAAAACTGACACATTCATACAAGCAAACTCAGGCGCAACCGTTGTACCATGGTACCTAAATACAGAAAATATCGGTCATAAGATTATACATAAGCCATCCCTGGTTTCCAGGAGAGGACACAGGAGCGTGTTGATTCAGAATGATGGCAGAGGACCAATCTCATCCAGGTCGAAGATCCACCAGGCTATGCAACTCATCAGACATATACTCACGTATTGCTAACAACTGCTAAACAGGACTGAATAAAGATAGATCTCAAATGTTTAGGATCTAGTTTTCAGAATTTGTTAGATATCAGCAAAAAGTTCCACTCACATCATGCGTTATCTAATTAGCATGCAAACAGAAATGCTGCCCTTTTTAGGATGATATTATAATTAAAATAACAGCTGACCCTGGCATCATTTATAGCATACGACATTGATAAACTGGTAGGTTTCTTATCAACGGAGTGCTCGTTTTTCAATAATTGAGATGATCTTACTTGGGGCACTCTAAAAGTCTGGACACCAGATGTGCTGGAGAGGCTGATGCGGGTCAGGCTTGTTCATAATCAGGTTGTGGTGCAGCACCTGTCGCGCTTACGCGCCTTAAAGACCAACACAGCAGACCTCAGCTCTATTTGATCAAAATAAGTTGAAAACTACAGTACACCAAGGTCGACATCACGTCTCCTACAAAAACTCCTTGTACCTGGGCTTTCCACGCCTTGACAGGTTCAGGGCACCGCCCTCCTGCTTCAGCCCCAGGATCCCCACACTAAATGGCTGGTAAGGAAAGTGAGGTTAAGGTCAAGCAATGTACATTGGCATACTGTGTAGGTACGACCAACTTTAAACATAGTTCTCAGATACCTCAATTACTTCTAATCGTCCTCGCCTGTTCTTCTCTGGCATCCGCAGGTAAACAACAACAACACCTTCTTGAATAGTCTCACTCGGTTTGCCAACATCATGGTCAGCAGGTCATCTCTAATTTATCTCAAAAGCAGGCACACTATACCCACTTTACAATCCTCATAACTCATGCTCGATGCATGTCGAGACGACACCACTGATGCAATGTCCAACTAATCCATAGATATTAGATGCTAAATTAGATACCGGACTGTTAACATGCGTTAGCAAGTGTGCTCGACAGAGACCTGGGCGTCAGTACTGCCGTG